AAAATAACCAGTAAAGTTTTATCTTCACCCAAAAACGCATACCTGAGGTGAGCTGGCAATGCTTTTAATTCTAGCTGAGGTGCTTCTTCAATAGAGGGCTTGGGTAGAGGACCCAACACCCTATTTAGAGGCTCACATCGATCTCCAGATGTACCTACAAGTGCCACATCAAGAAATTGCACAATTTCTTGTGCCTCAGCATCCCCATAAATATCATCCCCTACTAACAGTTGCTCTAAAGGGTCCTTAGATGCAATGTAGCAAGCCTCTGCCTCAAGATCTATCACAGTTATGGCAAACAACTCCTCATACACAGCTGGCAGCTTTAATGCTTTATAGACGTCGAACACCTCCATTTTATCATGTGTTCGCATAGTAAGTTTCCCAGCTGCTACATCTATCATGGCCCTCCCAGTCGCTAAGAACAGTCTTCCTAAGATGAATGGGACCTCAGGATCTGGCTCAAAATTCAGCACAACAAAATCTACTGGAATATCAATGACCCCACTTGCACTAAAACATCTTCCACAACACCCTCAGGCCTAGCTACAGATCTATCAGCCAATTGTAAGATGATGGTAGTAGGTTTAGGACTACCCAACTCCAACTTTTTGTACAAAGTAGTTGGCATCAAATTTATGCTAGCTCATAAATCACACAATCCTCGCGCATGAATGTTCTGCTCTACAGTAATCAGAACCGTAAAGCTACCCGAATCTTTCAATTTAGTGGGCAACTTATTTTGGATTCTGGAGCTGCACTCTTCAGTAAGTGCAACAGTCTCATATTTTGTCAGCCTCATTTTATTCACCACAATCTCCTTCACATATTTTGCATACCTGGGTATACTTTACAAAAACATCAACCAATGGAAAGTTAATGTGAATTTGTTTCAAAACAGAGAGAAACTTACCAAAACATTCATCCTCCTTCTGTTTCTTGAACTTTTGAGGGAATGGAGGAGGTGGTTTCACAATTGGTTGCACTCTTTCTTCTTGTGCAACAACTTCACTCTCCTTAGGTTCATTCTCTTTACTCATAGCGTCAGTGTTTCTTTTCTTAGGAGCCAACTCCTCCAATTGTAAACCATTGCGTGTACCTACCGCATTTACCTGCTTAGGATTTGGATCAGTATTTCCCGGCAAACCTCCTTGTGGTCATGAGTTTTGGGTACTAGCAAACTGCCCGAATTTCCTCTCCAGATTTGTGTAGCCAACTGGTTATTCCTTACATCAGTAACTAACTGGGCTTGATTAGCCATGATCTTTTTCAGCATGTCCCTCATGTTGCCAGATTGCTTATTCAGTTGCTCCTATTAGGCCTGTGGTTAGTACCCTTGTGCATTTCATTGGGGTCTATATTGATTTTGGCCTTGACCCTAATTTTGATTTTCACCCCAAGAAAAGTTCGGGTGGTTGCGCCAACTTGGGTTATAAGAGTTCCTATAATTTTGCTGGCCTCCTCCTCGTTGGGCATTTCCTACAAAATTAACAAAATCTGGGTTTGCACCACATACCTCTACGCTATGGTCTCACATCAAAATGGTGGTTGTTGAACTACATTTACCTGTGCGGGCTGTTGACCCAATGCTAGATTGTTGAAGTGAATAATCATCATATTCTGCATAGTCGCAATCTGTGCAGTTAAGGCAATCACAACATCTACCTCTAGCATACTTACAGTTTTCTGAATCACAGGTTTCACCCCTCCTCCGTTCCATTCAAGGTTGCCCTGCGAGATCCTATTCAACAAGGTGAATAGTTCAGCATATGTCTTCTCCAAAGCCTGACCACCTACAGTTGAATCAAGTAGAAATTTTGGTGTTAGACTCCAATCCTTTAATGAAGGCATGGACTAACACCTCATTAGACTGATAATGATGTGGGCAGCTCATCAACATCGATTTAAACCTTTCCCAAACTTGGTACAAGTTTTCTCCCACGTTCTGCGTAAAGCTCAAAATGTCACTCCTCAACTTAGCTATTTTTCTAGATGGAAAAAATCAGATGAGGAACTTCTGTGCTAGACCATTCCAAGTGGTAATTGAGTCGCGGGCTCTGAGTTTAACCATCTTTTTGCTTCCTCTAGCAGAGAAAAGGGGAATAAAGTGAGCCTCACATAATCCACATTCACTCCAGCTGGAGTGTAAGTATCACTGATCTTAAGGAAATTCTAAATGTGAACCGTTAAATCCTCGTGCGACAGACCAGTGAATTGCCCATTAGTGTGCAATAGTTGCACCATACTCTGCTTCAATTCGAACCTTCCACCAGCTTCAGGTTTCTGAATGCATGATGTCACATTGGTGGGACGTAGGATTGCCATGTCTCTTACTTTCATCTGATAAATTTTGTAGCCATAATTTTACTGTTCCTATAAGTGTTCTTTCTATATATCCTGGTGTTTCTGTTATTACTATTTTGTTATCTATTAATTGTTTTGATATATATCTCATCCATAATTGGATTGTTTTATTTATATCTGCTACACAGTCTAAATCTAAAAAATTATGTTGTTCAATTATTGGTTTAGGCATCCATTTTTTATTTAATCTTTTATCCCATATAGTTTTTTTCTCTATCATATTGTCCATAGTTTTCATTATAATATTTTGGATTTAAATTTTTTGGGTTTTTTATTCCTGATGTGCTAGGTTTTTCATCGTCTACGTCTCCTGTATTTACTTCTAAATTCTTTGTATTATCTATGTTTGCTAAAAGTTCTGTATATGTTTCGCTTGTTTCCGAATGTTGTTCATCTAGATCATCATTATTTATTTCATCAATTCTTATTTCAGGTAGATTATCTTGGTTATTTTCTTCTTTTTCTTCTAATTCCTCTTCTAATTGCAATTTTTCTTTAAATTTAATTATCTCATTTGCTAATTTTGTTTTTTGTTCTTTTTCTTTTTGTTTTATTTCATACATTTCTTTTAACATTGCCAGCTTTTTTTCTAGTTCTATTATTTTAGTATTTTTTACTTCTTCTAATTGTTGTACTTTTTTTTTTGCTTGTTGTTTTATTTTTTCAATTTCCGTTTTTCTATCTATTTCTTTATTTTCTTTTGTTATTCTTATCATAGCAGTTAAACTATCTTCTAGTTTTACCGTTTCTTTTTCTAACATTAAACTTATATTGTCACCTATTTTCTTGTATCTTCTTCCTAGATTAGAAAATATTATCTTTATTTTTAATCTGTCATAGTTTTCGTATGTTTTTTCATCTATTGCATATTCTTCTTTATTCATTTATAAATTATGTTGTAGTTTATATTCTAAGTTATTTATTTGTATTTTTAGATATAAAATAGTCTTTCTTTGTGCTATTATAGATTTGTGACAAGTTCCTGCAAACATAATATTGTTAAGTCTGTCTTGCATGTGTCTTAATTCTTGTCTTTTTGCTGTAATTATTTCAGTAAGTTTTTGTCTATATTCGTTATTCTCGTTATTCATTGTGTTTTTAAATATTGAATATATTTATATTCTATTTTAGATATATTATCTATTAATTGATATAATTTGTCGTTATCAGTTTTTGTGATATTGAGTTGTTTATATTCCGGGTATAATTTTATTAATTTTCTTCTTATTTTTCTTAACTTTCTACTAGTATGTTTCTTCTTATATTTCTTTTCATCCATAGCTCTGATACTATATTTCTTCTTATATAAGACTAATTTAATCCACAACAACACAATACAAAAGAAATAAAAAAAATAAGCAAACACCCAAATGTTTCTTCCTTCTAATTAGGCACTAAACCCTAAATCTTAGTCACTATCAAGCTAAACCCACAACAATCGAAGAATGAAATTAACAAACGTGAGAAAATTTTGAAGAATTCAAAACTCATATCTTTGTAATTCGTTTAAAAATGAACTTTTCATGGAGTGCGAAGAGCAAGAATGTGGAAAAAAAATATGACATAATTCATTGACAAAGAAATATATCTGGGAACACCTAAAAAAACCGTTGACCACAATTGCACATGGAGAGGAGGATGGAACTTGTATATAAAAGAGAACCTTAGGCCCGCCTTCGTGGTGCCACCACAAACCAGAATTCCCTTTTAATTTGTTTATTTCCAAAACTAACCTTCCCTTTTCATGAAAAGTTGCTACTTTTATGAAAAGTTGCGACTTTATGAAAAGTTGCGACTTTTATGAAGAGTTGTGACTTTAATGAAGAGTTGCGGCTTTTATGAAAAATTGTGACTTTTATGAAAGGTTGTGACCTTTCCGAATGGTTGCAACTTTTCCAAATAGTTATAACCTTTCCGATAAGGCACAATTACCATTTGTCCACACTATCCTTTGTTGTCTATAAATAGAGGGATTTCCTCTAATTTTAAAACAACGAAACTTCTGAACCTCCTCTTCCTCTTCTTCACAATTAAATATTTGTGTACTTTGCTCCTATTGAGTGGCTCATTGACATCATTGCTTATATTACAAATCATGGTATGTATTTTTACAATCATTAATTTATACTTATATTATTAAGGATAAATGATAAGATGTTATAATTTTCATTTCCTTTACATTATTAATGTTTGTTACTATGTAATCTTGTATGTAAGACAATATAATGTTTTAATTTTAATGATTGATATGTTTTTAGTATTATTTTATAAATTTCATGATATTAAATTTCCGCGCGAAGCGCGGATAATTTTCCTAGTATATATATATATATAATAAATACATTATTAATGTGTGTTACTATGTAGTCTTGTATGTAAGACAATATAATGTTTTAGTTTTAATGACTGATATGTTTTTAGTATTATTTTATAAATTTCATGATATTAAATTTCCGCGCGAAGCGCGGATAATTTTCCTAGTATATATATATATATATATATATATAAAATAAACTTATGAGGAACTATTTTTGTGAAGGGGGCAAATATGGAGGACCAAATTAGTCCATTTCCAATACATTAAATACCAATTTGAACATTTTGTCCTTGGTAATTGAGAAACCATAAAACCCTTCCTTAACCCCCTAACGGATGAGTGCAGTTTTGTGTTGTTGAAAATTAGCAGTAGCAGTAGCAGGAATGAAATTTCTTCCTTATCGCAGAATTGTAGTGAATAACTCTAACAACTTTGTGATGGGCTCCAAATATTTTCTCCACAAGCCATCCATTACTTTACCAACAATATACAAGTCGATTCCTGTACTTTTTCAAACTCAAAGACTCATCTTTTCAGCATTTGCTTCAAAACCCATATCCCCAAATCGCGGAACTTCAAGCTTCTCATACAGGCCTCAACGAATTCCTCCACCAGGTACCTTTTTGTTTAATTTTATTTGTTGAGGCATTCATTTGTTAACTTTGCAATGTTCTTCAATCTGTTATTTAGTTGCCGTCTGCACAATAGCTATAAATAAAAAGCCTTATGTTAAAAAAAAGAGATGTGTTTGGATATTTTCGCAAAAAGCTTCCTGAATAAACTTAAACAAACATATTTGGATTTTTTGTTGGAAGGTTTCAAAAAATTTCCATGAAAAAATTCCGCCTTTGTTAGTTTAAATTATTGCTTATATAATTTCAGTTTCTGGAGTAATGCTGGAAGACCCAAAGGAGGAAATTGCAGAGTCAGACCACGAGAAGGCACTGAAGCAGAAATTGAGCCAGGTTGGAATAGATATTGGTTCTTGTGGACCAGGCCAGTACAATGGGTTGCTTTGTCCAATGGTGAGTTCCTAACAGGTCTTCTGCTATCTTTTTAAAAAAGAATATTTTGTACGAAAGAAAGAGTGTTCAAGAGGGATGGTAGTTATTGTTTATTAGAAGAACAATCTCTCTATTGAGATGAGAATGTTACTTTGATCAGCAAACTGCGCTGGAAAACTTATCTGCTAGAATTTTTCTGGTTTTGGTCTTCTGTGATGACAAAATATTGAAATCATATTGATTTGTATCATCCGCGCTCTTATAGTAAACAAGAAAAAGTAAGAACTAAGTTCATGTAGACATAAGTGTAATGTGGTTGTTGCTATTGCACCTGATTAGAAGAATCACATCAACATATCGTTTAGAAATGGAAAAATAAGATGAATAAGGAGCGGTGTGGGATTCTTATGCAACTTTACAATGATTATACATATCATTAGTTAATTTTACTCATATTCTATTTAGATTAACCCAAAGTGCATTATTGACTTCAATTCTAGATTTTTATAGACTTAATGAGGGCAACTCTATGGTATCTGATATCATTGTAGGATCTAACTGAAAACCTATCATTGTAGGATCTGACTGAAAACTTGCTAGATGTATCCATTCAAGAGGATCAAGTGTTAGATGAACTTACTAGGCGTTTGGACATGCAATTTCATCTCGTGATTTGAAATCAGGAGATAAAATCGGCATTTGGACATGCAATTTCATCTCCTGATTTCAAATCATTAGATGAAATCCCAAATTCTTCAAAAAGCTTGATTTGAAAATTTCATTTAATGATTTCACATTTTTCAAATACAAAAAAAAATAGTTGCCCGTTACCCTGAAAATTAACCCCACGGGTGTTCATTTACTATGTTTAAACCCCACAGGTTCAGTAAGGCTTGAAGGAGTCGTGTACTCATGTTGCATCAATTTTAGAGGACATTTGCAATGAGACTGGAATAGGACAGAATGAAATGAGACTGGATAGGGCGGATTGGTCCGAGAGAATCCATACAACTAAACCAACTAGTTTAGGATCGATGCATAATTGATCAATTGATTGATAAATATCTGTCATTTGTTTAAGGTACATTAGGTATCCTTGCAGTAGGTGTTGTTGCCTTTACTATATTTTCTATGACTATGTTGTCGATTGCAATTCGAGCTATGATGACTTGAATTTCTTATAACAGGTTGACTATGTAGAAAAAAAAGAGATTTCAATGCATGAATGATCACCTTGTCGGTGTAACAAATTATTCCTGATTTGATTTGAAACTGAAATAGAGTTAGGGAGGTGAACGATTTGGATGTAAATTATAACTTCTTACAATGCTTTCAATGATTAAAAGCGAATGGAGCTATTGCTTTGTCAAGTAGAATGATAAAAATAAAGTTAAAAAAAGAAAAAAAGGAAAAACACTTGCTGTACGAAATAGAAGAAATGAAAGTAATCATAATTATAGATGCCCCTTCTGGTAGTTGAATATATTTCTGAGAAAGAAAATTGTGATTTATATCTTCAACATGTGGAGTACCTGGGGATGAGAAATAAATTAAACATGGTACTAATAGGTGTTATGAGCTTAAACTCTTAAAAATTGTTTAGTATTATTGCATCTGTAAGGCGCTTAGAATGTCCTATATTGACATATAATGCAATGTTTTTTCTTTGTAGTGCAAAGGTGGGGCCTCAAACGAAAAGAGCTTATCTCTCTTTATTACTCTGGATGGGTAACTAACTTTTACTTTGCACCTTGCTTTTGAGGTATGCTTTCTTCCTCCCCAGCAATATATTGCTAAAGCATGTGAGTGATATATAGGCATGCAGCTACATGGACATGCTTTCGAGCTAAATGTGGATGGAGAGGTGGTACACGGGTATAACATGGTTTAGATGAGCTCATTAATACTTTTATGTAGCATTTTCTTTGGCAGCTTTTTAAATTGTTTTGCTTTTTTCGTGCACTTTAAGGCCTTTGCAGATGTGAGGACAGCTTTTGCGGATATGAAAAGGATTGGAAAAGTGAATAAGAAGTACAGACAGATAACTGAGGAGAGTTTGGGGCTGGAACCTTTATGTGATGTGGTATGCTGATCTTTCTTTTTATGCAACTTTACATTAGGCTAAGTGAAATCCAATAATATTTGTATGTGTATGTAGTAGTTATTTGCTTATGACATGCGAGTCTGCATCATTTTACAAGCTGTTGGGCATGGGTTGTATTGAGTTAAGTTGTGGTCAATCCTTATTCTCGATTACTACAAGTCATTTATTATTCCTTCATGTATCCTTAAGATACTTGATTTTACCTTTACCACGTTTGAGTTGTGCATAACTTTCTTGAACGAAATATAGATAAATATCTTTCGAGTCCTTAACTCATGTGAAGTGTCACTCTCTTTGTTCTTCTTTTTCTCTTTCTTTATTTTCTACCTCTACTGCTATTTTGCTTCCTCTCTGCTGCTGTTTGCTATTCCTCTTCATCTTTGCTAGCATTGCTGCTATCAGTGAATAGTCCTACACTCTACCCTCCTTTTTTTATTTTTATGATGAGTGTTTCATTTGAGACGGTACTAATGTCCTGAGCCTATTCTCGGTCTAGCCCAACCAAAGTGTTCTACATTGCACATAATTCAATCCACTAGATTTCCATTTCAGTTTAGGGGTTTTCAAGATAAACTGAAAACCAAACGAACAGAAAAATTGAATCAAATGGAATTGTTTTTGTTCTGTCCAGATCGGAGGAATTGTCTTCTAGATTGCAGTTAGACAGATTCTTAGTGTCCACTTCAGTTTAGAGGAATCCGCTGGTCCAGATCGAAGAATCATCTTCTAGATCGAGGTTAGACAGATTCTTAGTGTCCACTTCTTGGGAGAAGTTGTCTCCTAATGTGATTCTGGTTCCTCTTCTGCGGCTGTTAGCAGACCATTCAGCTATCTTGTTGGATGGTGGTAGAGGAAGACGGTCAAGAATTCCTTTCAGACTTGAGAACATGTGGTTACGTGTGAATGATTTCAAGGATAGAGTGGAAGGTTGGTGGATAGTTATGAGGTGGTAGTAAGGTGATTTAATATCAAAATTTTAAAAGTAAAACCCAACTCTAAGAACACATTAAAGATAAAGGATAGAAAGATAAACACAAGTAGGAAATTAGACAATAATGGTTAAGAAACCAAAACCTTCAATTAATGGTTCCGAACAAGCACCTAATCCATAAAGATGACCCTTAGGAATTACCCTTCAGGGTGGCCAAGTGGTTTGGGCTTGGGACTTCCATGTTGGAGGTCTCAAGTTCGAAACCCCTTGCCAACAAAAGCAAGGGGTTTGCCTTTTGGGTCGAGCTCGTCGTGCCGGGCTTGCCTAGTGCGGGTTACCTCTCCTGTGGTTTGCGAGCTATTGCATAGGAGTGGGGGTTTTACCCTGTGCGCACCCAAAGGGTAGCGGTTGCGGGTTTCCCTTGTCATAAAAAAAAAAAAGATGACCCTTAAGAAGATAGTTTTTCATGTAGCTCGGTATGGATAGTAAGGTGCCGAGGAAGGTGTGTTTCTTCACGTGGTTAGCTACTAGAGGGGTGATTTTGACGGTAGAGTCTTAGAAAACGAAAGGTTGTCTGCATGAGTTGGTGTTTCCTTTGTAAGGAGATAGGTGGGGACATGGACTACATTCTGTCACATTGCAAGTAACCACAAGGTTATGGGAGAATATGCTTAGATGGTTTGGCGTTTCTTGAGCAATGCCAAGATCCGTGAAGAAGTTGATGTTTTGCTGGAACTGGAGCTAGGAGAAGAAGGCACACAACTTAGAATGTTGCTCCTCTTGCTTTAATGTGGGTTGTTTGGAATGAGAGAAATATGAAAGCTTTTGAATGGTTGGAGATGAGCTTTGCTCAATTGAGGAGTAGTCTCCGATCCCTTATTTTCTTTTGGTGCACCCATGTAGTTCCTGTTCGTATAGAGGATTGAGTGTCTTTTGGAGAGAATCATATCTTGTAGGTCTGTCCTCTTTTTGGTATACCACTTGTGTACGGCCAAATTGGCCTTGTTATTATCAATGAAATCTTTTACTTGATCAACAAACAAACAAACTGACATATGGTTTGATTTGGTGCAGCTTGGTGTTAAATCTAAAAGACTAACAGTGTTTGCTTGGTGTTATATTAAGCATTAACCATACGGAGCTGAAGCAAGACCGACACACTGACTATATGTATAATTTTTCTAGTTTATACATAAAAATTATTTGTTATTTTAAAATTTGTGAATATTTTGTTTACATAGTTTATATTTCTTATCACTTTGGAATGTGGTTTCAATGTTTAAATCTAAGCCTGCTTGTATTCTAATGTCACTGGGCACCCACTGTAACTTCTTATCTAGTTTAAACAAATATTCGATTTTGTTTTTGAAGTTCCTTTCTTGAATGCCTGCTTCGGTTTTTCGGGGCTTTACATTTATAGCTGATTTTATGAATTTCCTAAAAGGCCTCTGCAGTTGTCATGGACTCTAAGGTAGATAGGAGGGCTCCTACTACCTCGTACAAGTTTTAAATATTAACAAAATAGACTCAAAAGACTTGGTGTATTCTGTTTCTTCATCATTTGGGTCTTGTTATTTTTTTCTTTTGGTTGAAATCTGTAGGATGCCCGTATTAGCAGTGATCTTGTCTGTGTTAAAGAATGACAAAAGTCCCACATCAGTGGTTAATGAGATGGGTGGACTCCTTATAAGGCTTGGACAATCCTCCTCCCTTTGAGCTAGCTTTTGGGGTGTGAGTTAGGCCTAAGACCTAATTTAACATGGTATCAGAGCAGGGCTTGTCTCACCCGATGTTGGGGCCCCCAAAATCAAAATTGCCCACGCACCAAATGCTAAGCACTTGGCGTGAGGTGGGGTGTTAAAGAATGACAAAAGTCCCACATCGGTGGTTAATGAGATGGGTGGACTCCTTATAAGGCTTGGGCAATCCTCCTCCCTTTGAGCTAGCTTTTGGGGTGTGAGTTAGGCCTAAGACCTAATTTAACAGTCTGTTTAAGCAAGCTTTGTAGTGTTCAGAAGACTCCCTTTTGGTGTCTTTGTCTCCAGTTGGAAGACTATCCTCCACTTTGTTGCCCTCCCTGTGGTGGTGCTGCATTTCAAACTTTTTGTAGCCCATATTTTCCTTCTGCATATACCTCCAGTTTCTAAGGCAGAACTGTTGTACCTTCACTATGTTGAGCAGCAACATAGAGTCAACTTATTTGCAATGCACAAGTTTATAATGTAGTAGCATCTAGACCAGAAACCAGAGAAACTAAGAAAAATTGTCGGGGAACCCTACTTTCCCTGATCTATTTGATACTTGGAATTTCTTTTCCTATTATTCATGTTACTTTTACAAAACTTCCTTCTTGTATCGATAAACCATTGGCCCATCAGTACAAACAGTAGAATCGTGCCTCCGTGATGTTATTGCTACATTTTCCGAAATAGATGGAAAATGCCATTGTAAGGCCCTGTCTGTGATTTTTAGTAACTCTCCAACCTCCAAAGTAAATTGCCGATATCTTATGTGGTTGTCTTCTTTGTTACTCAATATATTGCTTCTTCATTATGTTTTATTTGGACGTGAATTAATGAGCTTTTTATTAGTTGATTTTCTTCTTGTGCTCTTCAGTTACTCACATACTTTTCTGAGCGAATGATATCAAGAGAAACATTGCGGAGAAATGCTGTTATGCAACAAAGACATGGTGATCAGGTCTGATATCTTGTCATTTTCTTACATACTGCTTGATCAGTTTCTGTTGGCGGCTACCATAGGCCCATAGACCTGATTGCCTTTTGCCTGCATGCTAGGATCCGTAAGAGAAAGATATACCTCTAAATTAGTTATTCAGTTAAGTGTTCTATCAGTGGTGACATACTGGTTGACCAGATGAGTTTATGTGATCCCACTTGGTAGTACAGAAATCGATTCAATCCCTGCCCTTGCATTTGATTTACTATGGAGTATCTTAGGATGATACATCTAGAGCTATTCCTTGAATAACAGAAGTATAATGAGATTCAATATTCTGCTTGGTTAAATGGATTCAACATTTGGAAAATTCCTCCACTTGTCATAATTGTATCTTGTGCTTGGTTAACATAAAATAGAACCTCATTTAAAAAAAAAAAACATAAAATAGAACCTCATTATTTTTGTCCAAAATGTTGTGCATTTTGATTTATAATTTTGAAGATGAATTTCAGTATTACTTGATGTTTTAGAAAGTTTGGATGAGGTTAAAAGCTAGTCAAATTTGAACCACTTTTAGGGGTCGTTTAGTAGGGAGTATTAGGAGAAATAGTCCTTGTATTATGTGTGGTATTAAGTTGTACTATGTTTGGTAGGAATTTTGGGCCCATGTATAACTAATCCATGGGTTAGTTATACACCCTCCATGGTATTATAGGGTGTATAACTAATACCTTCCATTTGATGGTATTAGTAATACATGGATCTAATACCATGGATTAATATATGTAAAGACAAAAATACCCCCTCAAATCCTTTCATTTTGTTTATTTTCTTGGTTTTATGTTTTATATTTGTACTAATAAATTTATTTAAATCGATTAGCTTACAAACTTTATTATTTAAATAGAGTTATTTGTAGCTAAAATATGAGTTATTTAATCTAATTATTATTAATATAAAATATTATAATCATACTAATATGCTAATGTTGCTGTATGAATTTAAGAGCTATTTTTGCTATTTAAAAACATCTTGAGTATAAAAATAGTTTAATTTATTTTGCTATTTTTATTTTTTATGGTAAAGAGCGATTCTGTATGATAAAAGTCCTAAGTTGAATGATTTTATTGATGTAAAACAATGTTCAATACCTTTTTTCTATAAATTCTTATAGTTGGTTGACCTTTTGAGATATTAACTTCAATTTATTAAGATGACAATTATTTACCCTCAAATAATTTAAGTGAGAAAATAGTAAACATGGTGATAAAGGCTATAAAAAAAAAATATTGTTCGTCAATTATCTACCTTGACCCAATTACATGTAATAAAAAATCTCATAATAACTCAAGGGTATAATTGGAAAGAAGTTTTTTTTGTAGAGTTTTAAACCCCACACAAAATTAGGTAGGAAGCAACGAACCAAACACTTGATAAAAATAATCCCTGTATTACTAATCCAAGCATTACCAATCCCTGTATTACTAATCCCTGCATTACTAATTCTTGCACTATTGATCTTAGTACCAAACGGCCCCTTAATCACTTCTTGGCTTATTTTGGTGTTTGGTAACCAAGCGCTTTGACACCAAAATAAGCCAAATGGCATAAATTGGGTACCCTTACGGCTTTTAGCTTCAGGAATCACCCCGATTTCATAGCACAAATCAGAAAAAAATCAAATCTGTTCCGTTGTTATCTGTTGGTTGCTTATCATTTTCCGGTTAGCTCCCATATTCAGGAAGGTTGAGATCTATTCTCACCCTAACTGTAATTCCTAAACTTTAAAGCAAGAGAATAACCTTTTCCCTATGAAATTCACTAAAGACTTTCTCACCAGGAGGATTTTCCATTAAAATCAGCTAAACTTGTTAGATTTTCCAAGGAGAGCTGTGACCATCCACTTTTCTCATTTAAATTTTCCTTTGTCATTAAAATACAATCCGAAGAAAATGTTTTCTTTTTCTGGTTTATTTAGCATCACTTCTGTTTGAAATATATCTTCTCTTGACTTTCTTGACATCTAAAAACCAAGAAATATAAGTCTTCCTGCTATCCACACCAGAATAAATAGACTTCTCTGGGAAATTGCTATTGGAAGAAGACCTCCTAGGGATTTTTGGACAAAACACGGGGTAAAGAGAGCCAAATGAAGCAATTATTGTTCTTTTCTCTGCTCAAGGGAGACTCATTTCCTTACTGTAGCTGAGTCACTTTTTGACTATTCAATCATTGGTGTAATTTTTTTTCCAGGTTGTTATTGCATTTACGTATCGGAGGGATGGAGCACTTGTGAGCTGTAAGTACCGGAACATGACCAAAAAGTTTTGGCAGGTTAGTGTCAGTGTTCTTCATTTGCTACTTAACATATTTATTTCAGTTAAATGTAAAGATACTATGACGTATATATGTATTTTTTTGAGAATGTGAAGACACTATAGAGTACTTCCAAATCATTTTAGTTGAGACTACAGTCTCATGTTTAATACTCGTGCTTGACAGAGGTGAAACCAAGAATCTTGTGTAAATCTCTGCGGTAAGAAAGAGTGCGCGAAATTTCAATCCAAAATGAAAAGCCTGAGGTTCTTAATCAGTATTCTTGATTGGGTATCTTTGGAGAGAACCATATTTTGTAGGTTTCTCCTTGTATATGGCCAAGATGTCCTTGTTATTAACAATGAAATCTTTTACTTGATTAAACTAACAGTGGATCAAATACAATACCAAGTTATTGATAAAGTTCAGATTGCAGCAGTCATGCTTGTCAGTTGTCAAGTTGTCAGCAACCTTGTTCTCTTTATTGTATGTGTTTAATTTCCATATGACCAACTTCAAGCAATGTTTACTTGAAATCATCAATCAGTACTTGGCTAAGTATGCTGGTCTGCTTTCGAAATTATTCATTACTACAAATTTTAAAACTTTTGCTATGACTGTCATCTCAATGTTTGGACCTCTGTGTTCATTCTTAAATATATTACTATGTCACTCTATTTCTTAGTGCAAAGTATTCAATAATAAATTCTATGAAATTAAAGAAAACGAACCATATAGTTATTGTAATCTTTTTGTTCCTTATTTATCTTTATTACTATGTCACTTTGTTTCTTAGTGCAAAGTATTCAATAATAGAATTTCTATGAAATTAAAGAAAATGAACCTTATAGTTATCATAATCTTTTTGTTCCTTATTTATCTTTGTTACTTTATCCACTATTTAGTATTTTGGGAAAAGGGTCAAATTTGTCCCTTTAATATGTGGAAAATATCGTTTTTACCCTTTGTTATACTATTCGTTCAAAAATACCTCACATAAATGGTTCAAATATACCTCTCTCGGTTAAGGATGTCCAAGGTGAACACCCAATTCCATGGGACGCTGACATTTTATGAGGTGGAATGCCACCTCAGTGCCTAATCAATATTACACTTATTCTTCCACAATCTAGTACTAGCATTTTCTTCCCCTCCACCATTGCCATTGTTTACACCACCATGACAACTACTATTTTAATGGATCAATATTTATACTTATATAATAGATATTCAACTGTTAAACATTTAAAAGTTGCGTAGAGGGATTCAAATAAAAGAAGCGAACTAATTAATTAAAAATAATCAATATTAAGGAGATCAAGGAACGAAGGTTAAGAACCACCATTCTTTGAAGTAATTTAGGACTAATCACTTGCACCTGGAACACTAACATTTGGAAGTGTTGAGTTTTACAAGACAAAAAATACTATATTAATGGAGTCGGGAGAGTGAAGGATGAAATAGGTTTTTACTTAATTTAATGGTAAAAGCGTTGGAGCAATTGTGCAGGAAAATATTTTCTTGGATTTTTTTTATGTTTTATAATCATAGTGTCTGTGCCAATTTGTGACACCTTTACTAATTCTACGATCTACCTACGACCTTCCACAATATGGGGTAACTTTATCCACCAAGGCTGGGATTGATGAGACGAAATCATCATGGTTTTTGTCTCTGCTGGGATATTTGAACCTGGACGTCGTGGTTGTCAACTCATTTCATTAACCATTATGCTACACCCTTGGGTGCAATTTGGTTTTCTATTATCTATTTCGGTTTTAGTTACTTGGTATTATCCATAATATGATTATGTTATTGTAGTGCAAGAAAAAGTAGTTTTAATTTTATCAATTCTGTTTGCCAACTATTTATCACCTATTGGCTATTGTCAGTTCAATTTTTTTCTTGGACAAACTTTATATCTCAGAAAATGTTTGTAAAAGTTATCATAATCAACTTTGGTCATTATCTGTGTACTCTCTCCATCCCAATTTATGTGTTGTAGTTTGACTTAGCACAAAGTTTAAGAAAGAAAGATTTTTAAAATTTGTGGTCTAAAATAAGTTGATGTTTTGTGGCTATAAATAATTTCATTATGGGTAAAATGGGTATTTTTGAGTTAACATGTTACTTAGTATAGAAATGTTTCATCCTTTTTGGGACTGACTAAAAAGGAAAGTGAATCGTATAAATTAAGACAAAAGGAGTATTAATTATTACCCATATGACAATATAATGAAAATATTATAATATCTTAATCATTCTATGTATTTTTTCAATTTATTTATTTTTATTATCTTTCAATGTCTCATAGACAATTCCAACTGGGTTTTTTTTCTCCAAGATAGGTAGTTATTTATCTTTTAAGTCTAAATTTAAATTTGGAAAATACATACAATACCCCCTAAACGTGTCTGAATAAGTCAGTACAAACTCTTATTTTACAATTTACCTTTTACACCCCTAATCTTGTGTAAAATGGAATACTACCTTAAGACATATAATATCAATTTCATAGTTGGAAGTGATACACACACCCGTGCCAAGCAGATGACGTGTCAAATATTAACAATTTTTTTTTCTTTTGATTACACCATGTCATTTATTTTTAAAATTGCAGTCCCTTTCTTCCCTTCTTCTTCTTTCCTTATTTCACTATTTACAAGGCCATTTTCAATCTCTTAGCGCATTGTCTTATTTCTTTTTTCACATTAGTAACCTTGCTTTTAAGTTTCATTTTTGTGTTTTCCGAGCACTATTACAAAGGCAATGTGGTAAACCTTTTTTTTTTTTTTTTTTACGAAGGTAACAGTAATGTGGTAAACCTTTTTTGAACTTAGATTTCTAGTCCAGTGATCTTTTGATCACCAGAAACCACCTCTTTTCTTTTTCCTTTCTTTTTCGACCCCACCTAGTCGTAAACTATTGCTCCAACAACTTTTTCCAATAAGGGTACCTTTTTTCGACAATTTTTCAGGGATTCTTTGGTTCCGTGCAAGCATAGGACAAATCTAAGCTTACCAAAGTGAGTTTCAGTTCACTATTATGCTGGACCAACCCATAGAGTCGATGTTTTGACCATAACAGAAGGCATCTCAATTATGGAGAACATCGTCGAGGTTCTTTGCTTGCGTCTATGACCCCTGCTACTGTCCGACAACTTCTATGTGACTACCCACCTCTTGGGGTGTCGAAATTTGATGTTGGTGTGAAGTTGAAGGGCGATAAGGGTTGTACGGAAAGAGGGAGATCGCCAAATGGCGTTGACAAGTCCGACGAAGTGGGTCATCTAAAACTTGACATCGATAAGCTCATTACTGGTGGAGGAGGCACTCATTAGGCCGAGATGGCAGTCATACGTCCATAAACTCTTGAACAAAGAGGGAGACATAAACATTGTGTTGGAAAATTAAAGCTCTTCGCGTCGTTGTGATTTTGGGTATTGTAGGGGTATATCGGTTGTGGAGATTAAGGGTGATTGTTGTGGACGCATTTGTGGGCAAGACATATGTGCGACAGAGAACCAAATAACTTGATTTAATTATAACGCTAGTAGTTTATTATTATTCTAGAATAGGAAGAATTTAATTATATTATTAGTAGTTTTCTTATTAGTTTAGAATAGGATTTATGTTTCCTAGTTCCATAAGACTTCCTATTACTGTAAGAAGACTCCTATTTAAAGGAGGATTTGAGGAATAAGAAGTACGCAGACTTTAATCAGAAACAAGAGATAGGAGTTCTCTCTTCCATTGAACTCTAAGGTTTCAGCTTCCCTTTGATGAGCTGAATTCATATTCAAAAATAGGTTGATCTAGGAATTCGAACAAAAGCAAGGGAATATCAAAAGCAGTTGAATTTGATTTCCCTGTTCATCGTCCTGTGACTCGATCCTTCTCTAAGAATCCTAACAATTTGGTACCAGAGCCTAACACAATGGACGATGAGATCAATTCTAGGTTTCAAGAAGAACGGGTGCTAACAGAAACACTAATGGACTCTAAACTTGCAGCGATGGAACGTCTCGGTGAAAAAATTGTCCAAGCTATTCAAGAACAATTTTCTAGCTTGGGAATTGGCTCTACAAAACTAACAGTCCATGGGGCAGAGACCAGTAGTGCTCCGACAACAGGTAGATCAACAAATCCGGCTCCTAGAGGTAATACGCTGCATATTCAACCGGCTGATCAGAATCATCAAACTAGTGGAAATTCCAATTCGACAATACCAAGGTATGCAAGGATGGATTTTCCTACTTATGATGGCACCAAAGACCCATTAATTTGGGCACATCGTTGTGAACAATTTTTTGAAAATCAACATACAACAGATGCAGAAAAGGTTGGAGTCACTGGGTTTCACTTGTTAGGAGAAGCACAATTATGGTATTATCAGCTTAAACGAGTGAAGGGCCCAATGAGTTGGGAAGATTTTCAGAAACGATGTTTCCAGCGATTTGGACCTCCTGAAAGCTGCAACCCAGTGGGTGAACTAGTCACGCTTGGACAAACTGGTACAACTGAAATTTATCAACGTCAGTTTCAAGAAAAGTTGGCTAGGGCTGATGAGCTTATTCCAGAACACTTGCACGTGGGTATATTTATGGCAGGGTTGGATGATTCAATTAAATTGGACGTACAATTGCTCAAACCACCTGACTTATCGACGACTATGAGAATAGCCAGGGCTTTAGAGAAAAAACAGCAATTGCAAAGAGTCAGTAACACTGGCAAAGCTGCATGGCAGCAGTCTCGGACAAGTCATGGCAGCACAGTGAACTCAACAAAGTCTAATACTGGTCTAGTTGGCTCATCTACCTCGACGAATATCCAGACTAGCAACCAAACCCCTTTTTTCAAGCGATTAACTCGGGTAGAAATGGCGGAGGGAAGAGCTAAGGGATTATGCTATAATTGTGATGAACAATATTCAGTCACTCACCAGTGTAAACGGCTTTTCTGGTTGGAATTGGATGGTTCAGTTGATGATGCAATTCCAGAAGTGCCGGATGACTGCCC